AACTTACGATCACACTCACACTCACAAATTCACATAACTCACGATCCCACTCACACTCACGCTCATAATTTTTCGAGACTCGCGGCCTCACTCACGATCACCTCAAATCTGATGGTGAGCGTGAGTGATCGTGAGTGATCGCACTCATGAGTGAGAATGCCGAGGTATGGTCCAAACAGGCTCTCGCAGAAGATCCGCACCACTGTATAAACACACACACACACACAAAAAAAAGAGTTTAAGCTGGCTTTGGCAGTGTGTCATTAGCAGTGGTCCTGACGAGGACCACGGTGACTGCGTCGAAGTCGACGGCGGATGCTCGTCAAATAACTCGCGATAGTTCGGAGCACGAGGCGGTCCCAAAGTGCTTCCTCCAGCTGGTACAGGCGCCTTGACTGGACGCCCTCTGCTCATCTGCGGTGTTGCTGGACTCTTCGACATCGTACTCTTTGTCGGAGCTGCTTTCCAAGTCTGAGACCGATGGCGGCTCTGGCTCGGGCTCCCGTGAGGAGAGGCAGATGCTGTAGAGCACTACACAGGCTGCCATAATCGCACCGGGGATCTTCGGGTGGTGGTAGAGCGTTCGGTACCTTTGCAAGCATCGGAACCTATTTTTCAGCAGCCCGATACAGCTCGCCACAACTGCCCTCAAGGAGGCGTGGACCTGGTTGTATTGTCCAGCTGCTATACTTCATATAGTCGCTATAATTCATGCAAGTTTTCTTGACCATGTCTAACATTTCGCCTGCTTCATTTAGCACACACCTTTCCACAACAAGTTAATGTGCTCTGGGTTTTGGGTATATAGCATGAAACATTGTAAACATCTTAAAACCGCTACATTGCTGATTGTGCCCATATTTATCTCATGCACTGAATGTGCCTATTAATGGTTTCCCAAATTGTCGAGTGCCACTAGCTACTGGCTTTCTTCACACATACACAAACTAAACTTTCTTATGTCACGGCGCGGCGGTGGCACTTTGAGCGCATTTCCGGTTCGGAGTGTGGGCAAGAAACGCCATGCGGTTCGGGCATATGTTGTCTTGGTTGAAACCTGATTTTTTTTCTCAAGATTTCACTATTGCAGCTGCACGCTGGGAACGGTGTAAAGTTCAATTTTAACCTGATTCCTGTCTGCCGTACCTCCCCCCCCCCCCCCCCCCCCCCCCCCGAAATCGTGAATAGATGTGAAGAGGGAAAACTAGACTCCATCGGACTATGATCGCTTATGCGGGAGGATCTTCGGGGTAAGTTAACGGAAACTTGTTGTCGTAAGATTTATTTATATTCTTTTAACATATAAGCGGGAAACCGTCAAGTCTTCCGGAGCACATCGACTGTATGCACTGCCTCTGCACGTTCAAACGACAATGGCCCGCAGACCATGTTAAGGGTATATGCATGGTCGACACGGTACGTGCGCTTCGAAGTAACTTGAGGGGCATCTGGGGTCAATCGGGTAAATGTAAGCAGTAATTAAAATGTGATGTTGACTGTTGTAACCGATGGTGATCGTGGAACTTTTATGCCTGCTCCCCGGTCACTAATAAATCTGCATCTTGTGCCCAAGATATGCTTCTAATGCACCTCGCAATATGCTCTCTATATCCCGTCTTCCTGAATTACCTGTCTCATTCATGTCGTATACACCACCTGCTATTCTGCGATTACGTATAAACAAAAAATGACTGAATTTAACGTGATAGAGAGTCACCTTACCTCCAGATGAGACCTTCAAGTGTTGGCTCAACGTCTCTCACCGAGCAGGTACTTCCCTCCCTTATGAGACTGTCACCGACACTCCTGCCTGATTCAGAAGGACCTCTACACGAGGACGTCATTAGTTGCTTGTGCCGACAGCCAAGATCTGCATGTAGGCATCGAACATCTAGAATCAAGAAGAGTATTGCTCTAAGATGGGGGCAAAACACTTACACTCAGTCACACTTTTTAATGCGTTAGCATTAGGACACTAGTACATGCGTTGACCTTAGATGATGTGGAGTATTTTGAGTATTCAAAGTTCACAACGTCGTGACGGGATGGCGCCACGGTTCCATTGGCTGTGGAAACTGGCTAGGAAACACCTTCTGCAAGCGCCGACAGATGGCGGCGGGGTGCATATTTTGAGACGCTAGGCAGTAGGACGCATAGAAATGGAGGTCGCAATATATTGGCTGCTTATAGGCTCCTTGCACTGACGTCACATCGCATACTTTTGAACACCATGTAAAAAGAGGAGAGGGAAACTGCTTTTGTAAGAATTTTGAGTGACAGGTTAATCTTCTATAATATTCTGGGAGGAGAATAGCGACGCCTGTGAAAATCCGGGAGGCACAAAGGAGGATCTTGATAAGAGGAGAGCTCCTTCTTCCCATTTTATTTGTAGGTCGTCGGAAATGACGTTATGCGCAAGCCTCGTATAGGGAGCGACTCCCTGACGTAACATTTAGCGACCGGAAATCACTGGCGGCGTCCCCCTTCGCCAATTTCAGCCCCGCGCAGTGGAGGACGGCGGGTGTATAACTGGGGCGCGTGTTAACTCCCCCGCACCCTAATCCACGCCGCTTCGCGGCGACAGTCTGCGGATGGCTCATTACAAAATATTAACCCACCTTGGCCCATCCCAACCAGGTAGAGGGGTAATAAACCTAAAGTTTCAAAGAGGCCCTTCCTCCACTCCCTCCCCCCGGTTTGCCACCGTGTTGTACGCAAAAGTGATTTCTCGTCACGTGAACTCACAAAATTCGTGACGTCAAAGAAAAAATTGCAGCGCCCAGAGCCTTCGCGGGGGCCGTGGGGGACGGTTCCGAGCAGACAAACGGGAATCGTGGCGTAGGATCGGTTTAAAGCCACTTCTGCGTTTTTCATGATCACTCACGCAGGTATAACATGGCAATTCCACGGCCCGCGTCTTTTCGTCGGTTTTTCGCTCGTAGTCTGCGTGGTTATCGCAAAAGAGTAATACAAAATGAGCCCCACGTTGGTCGCATCGCTAAGCGTTGTTTGAACGTCAGTTGAACATCAGAGATTTGCTGTGTGCATCACGCGTGGAAGAACAATTTTGGAACGACAGCGAGCAACTCAAACTCACAGGAAAAACCGTGTCAGGATCTTAACACTTTATTACAGTCGCCAAATCACCAAGCCCCGCCAATAACACTGCCGTCGCAGTCTTCCATCGGAACGAACTTCGGACTTCACGACGCGTGCCTTGCAGCGAGTTTAATGCGAGGCTTCTGTCAGCCCGTGCCCCATTGGCGCAGACACTTCTTCTTCAGCTGCTCCAAAGTTTTGTGTTCCCCGGAATGGACGCGACGGTGCCGCGCAAAGTGTACCAACTGCCGTAGTGACCGCCTCGGCCAGTCGCCAAATCGCCAAGTCTCCCACCCGAACGAAGCAGCTTCTATGGACTTCACGACGCGTTCCTTGTAACAAGTTTGGTGCGAGGTTTCTGTCTGCCCGTGTCCTAGTGGTGCAAACTCTTCTTCTTTTATCTGCCCTAAAGCTCTGTGTATCCCTGAATGGACGCGATGGTGCCGTGCAGAGTGTCTTGACTGCCGTTGTGTCCACCTCGGCCAGTCACCAAATCACCAAGTCTTCCCCCAGAACGAAGCAGCTTCTTGGGACTTCACGACGCGTGCCTTGTAGCGAGTTTGGTGCGGGGTTCTGTCTGACCCTGTACCATTGGCTTGAAGTCTCCTCAGGGCTGGTCGTTGACCGGATGTGTTTGTGCACCACAGCTTGGAGTATGCGGAGCCAGAGCTCACGCTACAGAACCCAGATGTCTGTTCAGTCCCAGAATCTACCCATTTTGATGTGAATGAGCATTGCACCGGCGTCCAGTCGCATATCACGACTGCGTGATGCTTGTTAAAGACACCCAGACCAGCACGCAGAGGATGTGCGCAAGTTTTCCCTCACAACGCACTTTTATTTGGCAAAGGCGTACAAGTTTCTGCGGAAGCACATCAGGCTGCCACACCCAAGTGCTCTTCCCAAATTGGCAGCGGTGAGAGATGGAAACCCAGGCTTCACCAGGGAGTCCTTCAACAGAGTCACGCAAGAATTCCACAAGGGACGTCTTCAAGTCCGCTTGATGGTCGACGAGTTGAGCATCAAGAAACAAGTGATTGGGACGGCAAAGAGGTCATAAGGTACCGTGGCCTGGGCCACGGCATCCACAACAACGACTGCGTCGCCTATGCCCAGCATGCACTTGTGTTTCTGGTGGTCGCAGTCAACATAAGCTGGAAAATCCCCCTGGGATATGCCCTGATCGACGCCCTGGACGGCGGCTGTCGGGCCAATCTCGTGCGCCAGTATACCACCAAACTCAAGGAGGCCGGAGCAGAGTGCATCAGCGTGACGGTCGACGGCAGTAACTGCAACATTTTCGTGCTTACAGCACTTGGTGTGTGCTTTGCTTTTCCGCTGACGAGCTGTTTCCCAACCCTTCTGACCCCTCCAGGAAGGTTTACGGACTTTTGGATGCTGCCACAGGATCAAACTAATGCGCAACCTGGTTGCCGAGAAGCAGTGCATCAGGGATGGGGCAAGTAGGGTCGTGGCCTGGAAATACCTCGAGTTTCTGGACAGCCTGCAGCAACAAGGGGGCCTTCATGCTGCCAAGAAGCTGCGCAAAACGCACATTGGTTTCTAGCGCCAAAAGATGAAGGTCTCCCTGGCGGCCCATACCCTAAGTCGGTCAGTGAGCTGTCTTATGTTGTTGTAGTGAGTGCGCAGGCGAGCTGGTGGAAATTAACCATTCTGATGTTAATGTGTTAGAGACGTATCCTCGACTGTTCCTTTTTCTTCTACTTTGAAACTTCCTCTTTTCCTGCCTCAGTCTCAGGCTAACATCAGAATGATTGTCTTATGTTGTTTTGCCAGGGTGAAGGGCATCCGAGGCTTCGAGGGTGTGGGGGCCACCGCAGAGTTGGCTGCAGCAGTCGACAACGTCTTCGACCTGAGCAAGTCCTATCACCCCCCTGGTCATGGATGCAAGGGCCCTTGTTCGCGCCATCAACAAGGACAACATGCTGACACGCATCGACCAGGCTTCACACTACCTCCGGTGCTTGAAGGACTCAACGGGCCAGCCACTGAGCCAAGGAGCAAGGAAGACCCCAATCCTCGGCTTTCTGATTGTCCTAGAGTTCATCAAGGGCCTCGCTAAAGACCTGGTCTGGGACCCGAGTCCACTACGCAGGTGCCTGCGGACGAGGAAGCTCAGCCAGGACCACCTTGAGCTGTTTTTTGTGACTGTGCGCAACAGGACGGGCAACAACGACAACCCAACGGCACTCGAGTTCCGCTTTGCCTATAGGAAATGCCTGGTCGCCAATCTCCAGCCCTCAACCCGAGGCAACTGCCAGGTTGACGGCACCGCAACACTCTTTGTCAGCTCGTCAGGGAGCCACCAGCAAGTCCAGTCAAGAGATGAAGCTTCCACGAGTGAAGGCACCCATGAGACCAACTCCTACCAGCCACTTTCTCAGTTCGCTGATTGCGTTGTCGAGTATATCGTTGGGAATGTAGCCATAAACTTTGCCAAAGTAACCAAGTGTCCAGAATGCTCCAGGATTGTGCTGGTCACAAGTGACAAACGTGGCCTGGTGTTTGCCAAAGACGCCGGTGGCCTCCACAGCCCTTCCCAGGATGTTCTGCACTTGTGCACAATAGCAGAAAACGTGCTTCGGCGAAACTCTGACAGAGTGGCCAAAAGAGGCCGAAACTAAGTCCTAATGCTGCAGACGGAGACAATGGACATTGCCTCCAAGACCCCACTTTTCAGGAGGTTTGATCATGTATTTTTTGCTCAGTGTGCTATCATGATGAAGACAATGCTAGAGTACTACGTCAAGCGGTGAATATACCACATGTACCGTGAGCAAAGTGTCACTGAAAGTGGGGTGGTTCACAAAGTTGGTCATCGTTTGAGGGCAGTAGCAAGGCCATGGCTGCATTACAGTACCAAGGAACAAGCACTCCGGACTTTCCCTCTTTAGTAGATCGCATACATAAAGGCGTAGTGGGAGTGGTACACACCAAAAAAGACATGATTTCAGAAAAAAAAAAAAAAACAAGAACTGAAACAATTTTACCGCCTCTGAATCTTTGCAAGCTACGAAGTTCAGAGAGACCAAGAAGCCTTCATAGCTTGACTGACCAGACACTGTAAAACCTCAATGAAAGCGCATGGGCAAAAGGAGCCAGTGTGCGACGGAGGCTGGCTGGTTGCTACAATGATTCCACCGATGGAAGGGGACAAAAGTTGTGTTGTGTATGTGTAGACAGAGGGATGTTACTTAGCCACAATGGACGTCAGCATCTTTTCTTAGATGATAGATTTAACCAACGCAGCACCACTGCTAGTCTGAGGGTCCTTAACAAGCATCACGCAGCAGTGATATACGACTGGACGCCGGTGTAATGCTCATTCACATAAAAATGAGCGGCGGTTAGGACTGAACACAAGACATTTGTGTTCTGTTGTGTGAGCTTTGGTACCACATACTCCAAGCTGTGGTGCACAAAAACACTCGGCCAACGATCAGCCCTAAAGAGACTTCGTCAATAGGAAACGGGCAGACAAAAACCTCGCACCAACCTCGCTACAAGGCACGCGTCGTGAAGTCAAAAGAAGCTGTTTCGTTCCGGTGGAAGACATGTCGATTTGGCGACTGGCCGAGGCGGACACAACGGCAGTCGAGACACTTTGCACGGCACCATCGCGCCCATTCCGGGGAACATTGAGCTTTGGGGCAGCTGAAGAAGAAAAGTTTGCACCTATAAGACACGGGCAGGCAGCAACCTCGCACCAAACTTGCTGCAAGGCACGCGTCGTGAAGCCCAAAGCTCATTCCGGTGGAAGACTGCGACGGCAGGGTGATTTGACGGTGCATGGTGATTTGCCGACTACAATAAAGTACTGAGATCCTGACAGGGTCTCTCCTGTGAACTTGAGTTGCTCGCTGTCGTTCCGAAATTGTTCTTCCACGCGTGACACACACAGCAGACCTCTGATATTCAATTGACATTAAAACAACGCTTAGCGATGACCTACCAACGTAGGGCTCATTCCGCATTACTCTTTCGCGATAATCACGCCGACTATGAGCGAAAAACCGACGAAAAGACGCGGGCCGTGGATTAGCCGTGTTATACGTACGTGAGAGAGCACGCAAAACGCAGAAATGGCTTTAAACCGGTCCTATGCCGCGATTCCCGTTCCTCTGCTCGTAGCCACGTCTCCCACGGCCCCTGCAGGCTCTGGACGCTGCCATCTTTTCTTTGACGTCACTGATTTTGTGAGGTCACGTGGCGAGACGTGACATTTGCGTACAATGGCAGCGGCCTGTGGTGGGTAACTTTCGCGTGCAGACCGGAACCCCAGTTTATCGCTCTATCCCCTCTACCTCGTTCGCCCACCCGTACACGCCGCCAAGGGGCGCCCCGCCGCCGGCCCACGGAAGCCCAAGCCCAGCTATCGCCCACTGCGCCATAGAGTAATATGCACATGGTAAAGAGAGGATACCATCATATCCCCAAGCGGCCCAGTTAGACCACTTGACAGCTAGCACTCCTAGCGGGAGTTAGGAAGCATAAGTTGGCTCCGGTCCCGGTCAAGGTAGTTTTGGTTTCGGTTTGGGCGTTTATGCTTCGGTACCATTCTCCTCCTTTGGCCCCCTCCCTTTCCTTCTCGCCTTGATAGGCTTGAAGGCTCTTGGGCTACCTCTTTTTTAGTGTGGACGCAGTTTTATTTTCATTTCTACGATAGAAACCGTGCAAAACGTGCCGTACAAAATTTTAACTTACTTCAGAAAAAAAAAGAAAAATTGAAAGACGTTTTCAAATCCTTGTAACGTGAACTTAGGGCGCAGTTCCTGAGGCATTTTGATTTTGCGATATACCGTGACAAGAGGGTACGCAGGAGGAGGGGGGGGGGTACGTAGGAGCAGGGGAGGGTACGAGAGAGGAGGAGGAGGGTAGGGTACTTAGGACCCCTCCCTCCTCCCTCTCACCTCCTCCTTATCTCCTCCTCCTCCTCTCCATAACCTTCCCTCCTCCCACAATTTGCCAGCTAAATTTAGCTGGAAAATTGACGCCACGTGACCTCAACACCAATTCGATTCCTCTCTAAATTTAGCGGGAAAACTGAATTGGTGTAGAGGTCATTTGACGTCAGTTTTATCGCTAAAGTTAGCGAGGAAACTGAATCCACAGTGTTGCGTTATGAGACGTCACACACCTACACACCAATTCAGTTTCCTCACTAAATTTAGCGGGAAATTGAATTGGTGTATAGGTAGGTCTGTGACGTCCCATAAAGCAAGCCGCGCGCTTACACCGAAGTCGACACCGACAGCGATGGCGACGGCGACGCCACGCGACACGGGAACAGGCGCCTAGGAGCTGCGCTCTAAAAAGTGTATTCCTTTTTTTTTTCTATTGTGAAACATTAAAGTCACACAATAGCCACGCTTTCACCTGTCTGGTGGAGCATTTTGGGTTCAGCAACAGTAAGGGGTTCGAAAACTGTTTATTGGACCACATTTATTTATACAGGATTTACTTCAGATGCGCTTTATGCTTTATAAAAAAAAATCAGGTTCCCACAAAAATAAAGGAATACGAAGGAGTTTGGCATATTGTACAAATGGTAATAGAGTTTCAGCGATACTGAGTTAACACAATTTTCCAAGGGGAACATGCTGAATGATTAATTCGCTTTCACACCGACTCGGGCACGGGAACTAAGTGCAGTAATAAATAAGACATCCATATCATTACCAGTCATAAGAGCATAATGAGAATGCGAAGCATACACCGGATAAAAAAAAAAATCAATTCCCGGCTAATACAAAACACACGCATCTTAATAGCCTGAAGCTCAATGTGGACGAGCCATTACCAAACAATGAGAAATGAATCGAAACTTATGGAAATATAGTGATCATTGTTACATAATACAACAATGATCACTCTGTTACATCAATATATTGTTATAGCTTATGCAAGCAGAGTCATAGCAGCAACGTACTTTATTAATGGAGGCTGGCGTTCTTCAACGACCTCGGTTGGTTGCCGCGCACCTCAGAGTTCACGCGCCGGTCACGCCTGCCCGTCATGCAATAACGGCATTGTTGTATTATGCAACAATGATCACTATATTAGACTTATAATGTACAGTCGCCGGCCATATGAGCTCCCCCGGCCGAACGCCGACCGGAGCAGCGAAAATCCCGCATGCGGCGCGTCGAGCGTTGCCGCGTTGTGGGAGCCGGGCTATCGGGACTAAACCATTTCGTTGTCAAAGGGATGGACGCAGAAAGTTCAATAGTATTCCGCGTTTTGGAACGTGAATCTGAAGCACAACCGATTACAATCCCGCTTCCGGTTGTCGATAAACGCTGACGGTTTATCGAAATTCTTCACTGCATAAAATCTCTGACGTGTTATATGCTACTTTCTTGTTTGCGAAACCGGTTTGTCATTTTAAATATTTTCTTCCCAAAAAGTAATTTTAAGCACAAGTCCCCTTTCTCACAATCTTTCTTAAATCTAGGCAAGTCAATGACAAGTGATTTTGAAATAATATATTTAATCTATAAGGATATGCTATAAATGAGAAAAAGAAAGATTTGTGTCGAAGCAGAATAAAGATTCAGGCGCTCTTCATGAACGCGTTTTATTGAGGAGACTCTATTAATCTGCGCTCAGTAGCGTGTTGCTTTGCCAAGGGTAATCTTCTACATGATGACTTTGCAGATGGCTTCCTGATCGGCCACTTCTCGCTTGCCGAGGGATCGTTGTTGTTATGCCTAATATTATATCAAACATGGGGTTTTTACATATATAATAAGCATCGATCGAACACTGCTGCTTTATCTACGCCTAAAGCAAGCTCCAGTTTATCAGCAGTCATCTGCGAACACTTGGGGCCAACACCCGAAGACGGCAATTCTAATCGGTCATGCTTTTGTGATTCACGCTTCTAAAGGCTGGAATCCCTTTGATAACGGAATGGTTTGGTCCCAAAAACCCGGCTCCCAAAACACGGCAACGCTCGACGCGCCGCGTGCGGGATTTTCGTTGATCGGGTCGGCGTTCGGCCGGGGAGCTCATATGGCCGGCGACTGGACCTCTTACGTTAAGAAATAAGTTTAACACGATCAGCCCTATTTGATAATGACAATCACATGGTTGTATTTTGAACGGATAACTATCTTTTTCGTTGCAAAGGGCCGATTCCAGCAAGCGCACGAAGATGAGCCACTGAAGAGGGTGATGCACCACGGGAGACGTGACGTCAGTTGGGCCATCACGGGCAAAGTTGCTTAGGAGTTGGCGTGGTTTTGATCTCCGCCACTTGGTGTCGTCAACGCGTTACAACCTGGTCGTTTTAGTTGCCCCTCCCCGCTCCCCGCAGGAGGTAATATCCCATGGAGGAGGACAGAAAATCCGGTTCGAGAGGGCTGGTGCGCATGCTGCTTGCCGCCGCATTTCCGCGGAGCAGCACTGTTTTGAAGGTCAGAGTGACGTAACGACATTCAATTTATTCTGCTTAAATGATGTTTTGGTGACTTTTCGAGCAAACAGTTGGTGTCTTCGTGGTGAGGCCAGAACGTGGTTGGAATTTATGGAATATAATGGGTACTAGAAGTTTGTTGCAGCATCCCTTTAACAATTGAGTCAACCCTAAAAACGATACAAAAAATAATATGAAATATGTTAT